CATTGTACTGTTTCTGGTTCAGTTATGATTTTATGTTTGTGATAGCCTGGCAACATGCCAAATACTTTCATTGTATGCGTTTTTGTTTATTTAAACATCATTGAGAAAAAGTGGCGAGATAATGCGAATAAAAGATCCGAAGAAAGCAGTACACCTTATGTCATTATGCTGACCACCATAGTACAATATTTACGCTAAACAAAGCTCCCAGGTGTGCAGTTAAGGCGCCAGTCGAAATGCAGCAGGAAGTAGGACGAGTATAGACTGAGTCCTATTAATTAAGGTAACTGATAGATACATATTTGAAATTGGGTGGTTGGAGGCGATAGGTCACAGAAAGCACAGTCTCACCCAGGTTTCATGCTAGTTGGCATTCAACAGTCAGCAAAGTGCATATCAGCAATCTTCGAGGAACTCATGTGCTTATGTTCTGAGATTCGAACCCGCGTCAACCAGTGCTACTAGCAGTCAGAGGTGTTACCACCGAGCTATTAGGTCTTCCGACTGACTTCCTGTATGACTTTATTGGATATTTTTGTTTTATTGGACAGTAGTTAGTAACCAGTTTAGTGTATCTAGTTCTTTGTTTGGTGTTGACTGAATTTATCAGTGAAGTCTGCCATGTGGCCACCATTCTGTGTGGCTCGCCGTCACGGCACACTGTGAATAGTTTCAGATACGCCTTACTGACAAGTAACAACTAGCGTGAAAACTAATTCAGGCTGCTTCCTGGTGACTGCCTCCAACCATCTAATATCAATTATTCAAAGTGCGCCGTCATGGCCAACTGCTCAGTATGGTAGCCACATTGCCAACGTGACTGATAAATTGAGTCTGCATCAAACACATTACACTAGTTACTCATTAGTGTCCAAACAAAAGCAGGGATGTATATTATCTGTAACTTATAGTAACCCTGATAACTGTCCAGTGGAACTCCCCTTCGTATGAATACTCTCTACCGCCTTTCACACAAACAATAAAAACAACACTTATGTCAGGTAGTTCATTTCTTGCATTAATAGTGTTCAATGCGCCTTTAATTTGCCTTAGATTGCACTCTACTTCCACTGTTGTCTTAAAAGTATTATTTGTTACAGGATTTCATTATGAGCTGGCATTGGTTAGGGAATCATTGGAAAACCACAGCTGGAGTACTGGACAGCTTTTCCCTTATCTTAGTTTGGGACTGTTCATCAGTATGCACAAAACTTGGGGTTTGAACCCAGGACCTTCTGGTTACAAGGCGACTTCGACCAATTCACGACACAGCGTGACCACTATTGTTATTATTATCATTTGTGTTGTTTGTGGTTTCCAGAAGCAGAAACATTTTTCAAATCAAGATTTTATTTGCTTATTTGCCAAGGCGTGCCTGACTGAGACTGCGTGAAGATGTGGAGATTTGTTGGTGAAATAGAATACAACAATCTCTCACCGAAGAATTTTCGCTATCCTACTATAGTACAGTTTGATAGAACACAACTGGATTGAAAAATGCACCCTGTTGATTTCACCACTGGTCACTGCCAGACAAAATTATTATTTCACTACTATTTCACAGCTTCTGCATCAAGAATAAAGCCAAAGTTATTACATATGTAAAAAGTGTGTCCACTAGATATTCTGAAAATAATAATAATAACAATAATAATAGTAACAATAATGGTTTAAATAGTGAAAAATCAATGTTTTTCCCTTCTTCTGAAATAAATTAATTTAGATTCCTATCGGATAAGTGAATGATTAACTTTAGCTTTTCATAACAGGTGAGTAACACTCATTTCCATGACAACTAAAGAAAAACTTGGGAGCTGAGAGGAAGTTGAGACATAATTATAACTTGGCAGAGCGCTTATAGCTGAAGTGCCGATGTGGCCACTGTTACGCTTAAGCCTGACTAACAACTTTCACTATTCTTTTTTACAGTAATCCAGGCCATTAAATGCTATCTGCTCGGTAAACTAGTTACACTTGTAATAAAATGGATTTTAAATGCTTTAAATTCTTTTGATGAAATGTTTTGATTTTTAGTTTGTGCCTACCTTTAATAAAAACAAAAATGACATGTGTAACCACTGGAAACCGACATTTTATTCTTCTTCTCAGGATGATTTTATTTAGTAGGCAAACAGAGAAATCTTTATTGGGCTGCATTTAATATAGACAAAGAGTTAAGTCATTCTATGAGAAATAACTTTTTACATCTCTGTTGCGTGAGTTTATTACCTATAATGTCGACTTTCACATTATTTCGTAATCGATTTCAGCCTAGCACGTTTGTCACACAAATAAGATTATTTATGTTGTCACCCTATGACTAATCTGTTATTCTACGTTAAAAAAATGTATCCGCCACATAACTGGCCATTATTATACTACAGTTTTATTCAAACATAATTTTGAAATAACGGAAATGCATAAAAATTGGTCCGGTAATATGTGTTCAGTTTGTTACCAGGTAGACTGTTGCAGTACACTAGAATGGCGGTATCTGAATTCTAGTCATCAATAATCTTAGATACCAGTTTATAAACATCCTAATTATCTTTTGTTTACACTGTAGAAATGTCATTCAGCAATGGCAGCCAGTGATACTATCAGTACTACTAATGATACTGGTAGTAATGTAATTTAATTAATCGCAGTATCTGTCTGGATACCACAGTGTTCTCACCAATCAGTAATCAAACAAATACTATATATTCTATAATCTGAAGTGTGTATCGGTGGCACAGCGGTTAAGACTCTCGCTGATTATGCACAGGTCTGGGGTTCGACCCCCTGACGACGCACAACTGATATCTATGGTCGGCCTGAAAAATATGGGCTACCGATATCACATGCTGTAAATTCTATACTTGTACCGAAAAATACTGTGTGGAATCAGGCTGTAATCAAAAGTAGAAAATAAAATAAAAAAATAAAAAAACAATAAAGTTCAAATTGCGTCGGTTCTGGTCGGGAGGAGACATTTTTACCCGCTGTTACAAAGTAAACTTTTATACGTTCTGTCACACCCCACCTTTTATTTTTCATGCTATTCAGAATGGAAGAGGTGTGACTGATGGTTAGCTTTGTGAACATAAAGTCTAATAAAGGTGTCTATTATTTGCTATGTGAAGCACTTCTTTACAGGTGGTCGGAAAAATACACCTTCCAGAACCAAGCTGTCTTCAAGCAAAATGTACACTCAACTTGCTTGTCGTGTAATTCGATATTAACATGAAGGTGGACACACTCTAGTGTAAGTGAATAGGGTTTAAAAATGCTGTCATTCAACCCTGAAGGGGACTCTTTATAAGATGAGTAATTTAGGGATAATTGGTAGGCAGAGAGAGATGGCTGTCAGTATCTGATCTGCGTAGTTCTAGGCTATAGAAGAAAATGAGCACACGTGTAGTTTTAGTCTTAATTCGTTAGACTGAGCTTCATCGTTTCCAGTCTGTCTATTGAACTCAGATATAACAAAGGGTCTTGAGGAAATGTTTTGCATCCTACACAATATTTTAGCGTGGGAAGTACATTGTGAAGATTACTTTCCTACTATTTGATTATAGGATGTCTACACAGAGAATGTGTGCGTTGGTGGCACAGCCATAGGATGCTCGCCAGCCACGCATGTGGTCCAGGATTCGATACCTGGTCGACGCACCCCCTTACCTCCCTAAGCCAGTAATAAGACTGGTAAAGAGGGAGGGGTAGGCATGAGACTAGCAACTCCATCCCATAAAAATAAACACCAGTGCTACCGAAACTTCAAGATTCTAGCTTGAAGCCCTGTGTTCCACTGGGAACGTGAAGGAATAAAAAAAACACAGAGAACATGGAAATCTGACTTTAACCTGTCATAGAAATTGGAAGGGAGAATTCTTCACACATTTGCCTTGGTTTAATTTCATTTGAGAACTCTGTGTGTGTATATATGTGTGTGTGAATGTGAGTGGCTGATAAGGCTTTATTGTGAGAGGAAAAGACTGTACCATTGAGCTTTCATAATCATCATGTATTAGTGAATATTAACTTCAATTAGATAGGCGGCTAGACACCTAATATGTCTATCTAGTATGTGTTTGTACATCGCTCCATTGTTTTTATGACTATTGTTCTCTAATTTTTATTTTAAATGCGTGGGTGTATATTTAAATTTTAATTGGTTTCTTTTAACTGATATGTACTTTTCTGTGTGTATATGAGAGATAAATTGTTATTATTAACATTATTATTACTACTACTACTACTATAATTGTGATTATTGTCATCAAATAAGCAATGAATATGAATAATAACAGCACCATCCTCATTGATAGGGGACACATTACACACCAAAACAAAGCATAAAATACATACGGGTTCTGTTCGTTCAAAAAGTTATTCTGTATGTGTAAAAAAGAGTACGGTGTCTACATTTTATTGTTACTGTTACACAATTAATCAATCCAGATTCCAAGCTGAACACACATATATATATGCACAACGCGTTGGAATACATACAGATACATTCATCAGATAGATAAGAAGTGGGTACACACACACCCCAACTACCCACCCGCACTTACACTCTGACAAACTCGCATATAATAATTTGGAGAAAATAAAATACGAAAACAACGCGGAGAACAGAATTTTTCAGTGAGGGAGAGAGAGACAAAGACAGTGAAAAAGCAATTTCGTTAAACAAATTCCTAGTTGTAACTCCTCCATTTTCGTCATTTCTGGTACTGTCATAATATCAGTATTAGTTATTTAGAAATCAGAGTGGACTGGAACTTTACTCATTACGTGCAGACACTTTGGAAGTATTTAACATTTCTTTGATTATCCGTCAACTTTACTCCAGTTTGCATCATTTATTATTATAATCATCAACTAGCGAAGTGGCTATAAGTCCTTCACTGTACACATCTTCAAAATCCCCAAAGCTATTCAAGGCAAGAAGGCATAATTCTAAAATCAAGGAAATATTAGGCACTTCCAGTAATTATCATTATTATTCCTCAATGTTATTCAGTTCAGCATCGTTTATTGTTACACATTCATTATTTAGACACTTGTTAGTATTATTCCTGTACTATTCGGCTAGTTGTGTCAAAGGAATCAGTGGAAATTGTGAAACAGCTCAATCTGTAATCATATGTACCAATGAATTCCCATCTAGTCAATTTCTAAATAATTTAACTGGGAAATATGAATTAATCATTAAAAGCGTTAAAACAAAATTAAACATAAAATCGTTCGAAAAATATCAAGGCGCAAAGATTACACGTTTACAAATTGAAAAGTCAACATTATTCTCCATTGAACCGAAATTTTTTGCAACATTCAGCGGTGATAGTCTGGAAAGATTATCGCTTAGTAATGTCGATGGGACATATCGACTGGATGCACAGTCGCTAGCTGGTCTTAGTGAAAAACTTAAATTCCTACGAATAAACGATCATAATTTGAATATTAATAATAATATTGATGATTTTGTTATACTGAATAAATTGACAAGTCTGTATCTTGTACGTACCCAACTGACCAGTTTACCCGATAACTTTAAACAAATGTTAACACATTTAGAAGATATTAATCTATCTGAAAATATGTTAACTTACATGCCATGGAAATCACTAGCTGAACGTATACAAAATGACCAGTTCTTGAAGATTCAGTTGGGTAAAAATTTATGGAATTGTGATTGTGGTATAAAACCTTTAGTTGAATTAAAGCCAGAAGCAAAGTGAGTAATTAAAATCATTATTATTTGTTTATTTTTTATATGTAGAGAAATTCGAATTACCTTACATGTACCTATGTAAGTTGTTGTTAGTGGGTTAATTACTGATTAGAATAAGTACTCAATGTATTCTACTTTATTTGCTTTAAAAAAAAATACCAACAACAATAATAACAGGTAGATCAATTATATTATTTAAATTCTAGACAACTTTGTATAAAGTTAGAATATATTGATTAATTTAAGGTTTCCATAGTAAGCTGTTTTAAAATGCATTGACTCACTGACTTTGATTTTATTATTGTTCGCATAGGCTTAGTTTGATTAATACTATCAGTTAGCTGTGCCCGTTAAAGTAAGTGAGATGTATCACAGCTACATTACAACAACCAAAGCGGTTAAGTATCTTTGACTCATACTAAGAAAGTAAGTAATATTCATTTGGGTAGATATTTTGAATTTAAGAGACACGAAGTTCTTTCTCTTAATACGCCTAAGTTTATAAAAATAAACGATGAGGAATTATCTAAAAGAAAGCAATACGGTACAGCTGCCATGAGTTATCCTGGAGTGAAGGTTTTAAACAGTCACTCTCCATGAAAATATTAGTGCATTTATTATGCCTGATTTTATCCACCATTTACGCTAGCAAAGCATCTTGGCGTAAAAGAAGTTAGGGGGGAATGATAATCGAACCAAGACAGTGCATGAAAACACCAACTGATAGGATGAGCCAAGGACTGAATGTAGACTGACTGACTGATTCACGTTTAACTGACGCTTTATCGAAGTCTGTATGGTTGATATGGCATGAGACTAATCATCAAAGTGGAGAAGATTTCTTCTCACTCTATCTTTATTCTGCCTTACTTTACTTTTAATTCTTTTGGCTTCTTACGAATTTCCATCATTTAAGTTTTACATTTTCATCTTATCATCTTATCTCAAGTCCTCTACCGGTATATATGTATGTATGTCCATGACAGTATATGTGGTCAAAGCGTAGGATCGTCAGGTGTCACTGTCAATAGGCTACTGTTCATCCAGTAGGGGATTCGATTGTCGAATTACAGCAGACAGATATGTTGTGTAGGGTGGCAAAGCATTTACTGTGAAAAGTAATTGATACCTAGTTCTGAAAAGTTGGAACAAATCAGCATTCCTAGTGCTGGAATAGAAGGCTTCAAGCTAGAGGCTTGAGGTTTCGGTAGCAGGATCGGGTTGCTAGCCTGACGCTAGCCCAACTTTCCCTCTTTACCAGTTTGATTACTGGCTTAGGGAGGTGAAGGAGTGCGTTGGTGGCCAGAGATTGGACCCTGAACCACTTGAGGCGTGGCTGGTGAGCATTCTATCACCGACGCACCAAATGTGAATAAATAGAATAGTTTATTCACTGAAATCGCATTTCATAAACACACAATGGAATATTTCGCTGTACCGTATAATTCGAGACAATACATGCAGAGTGTGTTGAGTCCGGTTGGTAGAAGGATGCAGAGAGAATCAGTTCAATGAAACTGATATCTCATTTTATTTTACAAATAGGATTACTGGTTCTGTTTGAACTAAAAATTCTCTTCAGTAATCTTAATTATTTCAATAATATTCAAAATACGGGGAAAATACATACTTTGTAGATCAATTAGCTAGACGACAAGTGGGAATGGCCGTTTATTCTGGACACGAAAGCGTTCACTTTTATGAGAATTATTTATAAGTATGTTGTGCTAAGTGCTATTGTATGAATTAGCCGCGGAACACGGTTCGAAACATTTGAAACCCATTGAATATACGTTTATATATAAATTTAGGTGGTTGTGACTATTGAGTCAACTTTGCGTAAACCTGCTTTTAACACATAGATTTCAACTGAAAGCTCTAAGCATTATACTTTATTTATTGATAGTTTTTTTAATAAACTGATTCATGGAAAGCATTTGAAGAGGTTAGGAAGTGAAATGAAGTTAAATTTGAGAGTTTCACTGAATTCGTTCAATCAAATAGCATTTTATGACAACTTATTAAGATAAACACTATTAGTTGAAAGTTTTCAAATGTCGTAGTGAATAACCTTTCTTTTCCATAGATATACAGATTCATTTTGTATAATCAAAGGCATCAGAAACATTTCCGAATAGTTATGATATTTAGTGTATATCAACTTTTATGTGGTAGGATGACTTTTAATTATTAATAGGCATGGGTGATATTCAACCAAACCTTTTTACCCCCTATTCTCTGTAATGAACAGCTTCTACAGTTTGCATGTATCTTTTGTGCTACATTTTGAGATTGACACACAATCACCTTTGACTTAATTAAATTACTCTGGTGGCTGGCATGGGATTCGTGTGTCTGTAATGTTCGTTTGATCAAAGCATTGCGGTAAGACAAGTCTGAAGTCGCCTAAATCTCATTTGATATAAGAAAGACATGATTGTGAATATAAGATACATATATGTATATACACACTGAAATCAATGAATGCTCTTTTCAATGACTTCTTCTTTAGTAATTATGGATGCATGATTGTAGACCTCATGAAGAAATCAATGAAAATATTCTTTTTTTCACCAGTTACTTTCTTTTTATAGCTTAGATTTCAGGATGAAAAAAGCGTTTAACTTCACAATTCCACTGTCTTTCTTTAATTCTACTAAAACAGAATAGATTTTATATTTTTCTTCATGGAGTTTATATAAGTCGCTACTTTTTCTGGCTTTCATGCGTCGTGAGTGGAACATAGACCTTTTGACTTTGAATTTTGAAGTTTCAGTAACGTTCGTATAATTCCTAATAGTATAGGTTTGTTACCCCCATTGACTTTGGTAAAATTTAGGAGTGTATCAGCTGGAAATCAAAATCAGACCACTTTCGTGGCCGCAGAGGAGCATTTTACCATTGATCTACCGACGCAACGCGCATTATTCTGTTACAAATCTAAACCAGTTTAGAATGTAACACAGAAAAGTAGTCAGAAAGTTGTTGTCCATCGTATGCCAACATCACTGTCTGTTTCATAGATCCTTTGAATTCATCTTTTTTTAGAACACATTACTCGGTTGATTTGTAGCAGAAAGTGATTTGGAAGTTATTCAAATTTTTCAATTGTGCCCAAATATAAGTGCAGCATTCAATGCTGAACGTATATGTGAAATGTTATGCAAAGGTTAATTTTCTAATTCGTTTGATGACAGAGGTGTGAGTTTTTCATCAACATTCCTGTGGAATTGTAGATGTTTGTTCTATCAGTACGTGAGTGAGATTACACTGGTGGCCTGTTTTACCTAGATTCAGAACTAGCATAAGTGACTAATATACAGAAATATCCTGCAAAGTAATGCTAATACTTATTTCATGAACGAATGATTCTTAGTGGATTTTAACAAAACAGTAAAACTACATGGAGCAGAATGTCATATTTCATCGGTATCCTCTCAAAGGCATACAACCTGAATAATGGACGTTAATAAATAGTTTGATCAGAATTTATTAGTTTATTTAAAATATCACACACAGTGATGATGCAGTTTTAACAACTGGATGACAAGGTTTCGAGCATAAATTATTACTGCTCATAATCACATCAATTTTAGTCACACGTTTTCACAATTTGTCTTTGTATATTTTCTCTCTTTCTTCCCCTTGTTCTTTGCTGGGGCTTCCCATATCTCCGATATAGGCGTTGAATCATGTAGATTGCATGTGTTTGGTGTTGAAACGATAAACAAAGCTTGAGTGATTAACCTCTCTCTCTCTCCACCTAAATATATTACTTTTCAATACTTTCATTCTGTCCCGCCCTATTTTGTGGTTATATGCAAGTGAATGCAATACATTGGCTGAGCTTCATCCTCAGTTACTTAACTTAGCATGGTCAATTATTTTAGGTCTAGCTAAATTTTTATCTTCCAGTAATCTAAGTGGCTCCGATCTACTAGTTTCACCTGTATAAGCATGCCGCCAAGTAAGCGTTGATGTAACCACGTGAAAATGGAAAAGGAACCAACATTGAAGATGACACGTGATCAACTGAGATTATTTTTGATATCCAATAAAATAAAGTGTATGTTAGAATTTTAACGAAACCAGTAGATGTCATTAGTCAGGTTAGCTGTGATTGAGAGGATACTGACAAAATGAAACGGATCTGTTTTGTCCTGCTTTTGTGTTGTCGTTGTTTTATTCAACAATAATAAAAATTATTTTTTAACTCATAGAAATTTCATGAGAAAAAAGAATCTATTTCATCGTTTATTTCTTATCAATTGGTTTTTTTTATCTTGGCAGTATGCGTTTAGTGGATTTATATTATTAGCCATTATTATTATTATTATCTCTTCGTTTCTGTATATAGACGTGTGAATGTATGTGACGTATTTCTGAAGCGATTTATTGAAATAAGGAATGATTCTGTAGAAGTAATTTATTGAATTTAAAGAGTAATATTTTGACTGAACACTAGTAACTAGTGGGGTGTGTTAGTCATTTGTTTTGTGCAGACTGAATTCTATCTATCAGTGGTGACGTCTGTGACTGTAGCACTGGGTGACGCGGGTTTGGATCTCAGAAGGGACATTATTTCCTTCAAGTTTGCAGATACGCCTTGCTAATTGGTGAGTGCCAACTAACATGAAACCTAGGTGCATAGCTTCTTGTGACCGATTGCCTTTGAACATCTAATATCATCAAGATTACTATTGTATAAGTAATATAAATACGATGGTACTTGTTGAAATAGTATGAACTTAAGTTTTCAGGTCTACTGATAAACACCGCATTTTGTGTGGTCAGTCTGTGTCTGTGAGATAAAATTTAAACTTGATGAATACGATAAAGAAGAAGAAAACAGTGTGATTAGTGTAAACTTCAGTTTTATTGAACTAAGAGTACACATCTGTGTCCTGGTAATCTGAAGACGCTCATGTAAACTCCTTTTACAGTTTAAATCCTAATTTAGGTCTACAAAAATATTGACTGATGATATAAACTGTTAAAGGAAT